CCACCACTCCCGGCTGATTTTTGTATTTTTAGTAGAGACGGGGTTTCTCCCTGTTGGTCAGGTTGGTCTTGAACTCCTGACATCAGATGACCCACCCGCCTCAGCTTCCCAAAGCACTGGGATTATTGGCGTGAGCCACTGCATCTAGCCGGGAAGCCAGTTTTGAATCTCAGGTCTGCGCTCCCAAACCGGAAATGATTTCAGGAATCGGAAAGAAACCGGGTGATCAGGAGCAGGTCGGGCAGCGGAGGCGCAGGCACCAGGCCCTGTAGGGTTGGGCGTCAGTTCTCGTCCGGGGGCAGCCCATGGTTTGGGCTCAGGAATTAGACAATGAGCGTCGGAACCAGCTAGATCTGGGTGTGAATTCTAGTTCCCAACTGTGTGGTCTTGGATAAGTTATTCTATGCGACTTTGATCCCTTATAAAATGAGGATCATAACACCTGCTTTATAAGGTTTCTGTGAGGTTTAGATGACATAATGTGTGTGAAGCACCAGCCTGTGTCCAGCATGTAAGGGGCCCAGGAAGGGTTGCCGTCCACCACATGCACTCTGCCCCACTGTCCCTTCCTGTCCTCTGCCTATGGCGAGCTCATGGGTCAGAGGGGCTGAAAGGACCACCTGGCTCCCTTGTTCTCCAGCTCCGCCAGCGACTCCACGCCCACGCGCCTCACTTCCAGGTCTCCTTACTGCGCATCAGGAGAGGCTAACAGACATCAGCTGCAGCCAGGCCTGTCCCGTACGCCAAAAGAAGGTGCTGCCCATGGCCTGGGCCCCCACCAACAGACTGCAGCTGCATTACTGTGCTGAGAGGTACCAAGAAGTTTCCCGTGAAGGGCAGCCGGTCCAAGCCCCTGACCCTAGATGTGGCAACAGGACCTCGCTCACGGCCACCGGAGCATATATGCGGGGAGGGGCTTCACCTGTTCCCAGAGGGGTCCTTGGACTCACCTTGGCACATGTTCTGTTTCAGTAAAGAGAGACCTGATCAGCCATCTGTGTGCTTCCATCCTGCATTAAAACTCACTCAGCGTGGTCCAGAGGTTGTCTATTGATCTGTATGCTTTCGCCGTTTTTACGGTAGAGGGATTGTGGATATTCTCACTGCACCTCCTCCTTCCACTCCCCCAGGTCTTGGTTTGCACTTTGATGATAGCATTTACTGAGACCGGCCTGGAGCCTGTTGAACAGTGCGCTATGGCAGGGCAGGGGCCACCTTTGTTCATCTCAGTATCCCCTGAACTAGCAGAGCGTCTGGCCTGCGGTGGGATCACAGAGAATGTGGAATCGACCTAAATTTAAATGTCAAGTTCTGGACACAAGCCTCAATTATTCTTCTTATATGTTATAACTTACATGCTATTATTTTTAAAAAATTAATATGGTTTTTTATTAGAAAAGTAAAACTTGGCCAGGCACACTGGCTCATGCCTGTAACACCAGCACTTTGGGAGGCTGGAGTGGGTGGATCACTGGAGCTCAGGGGTTTGAGACTGGGCTGAACAACATGGCAAAGCCCTGTCTCTACGAAAAATACAAAAGTTAGCTGGGTGTGATCGTGGACACCTGTATTCCCAGGGACTCGTGAGGCTGAGGTGGGAGGATCACTTGAACCCGGGAGACGGAGGTTGCCGTCAGCTGAGATCACACCTCTGCACTCCAACCTGGGTGACAAGGTGAGACCCTGTCTCCAAAAAGTAAATGAATAAAAATAAATAAAATGAAAGTGGCTGGGTGCAGCGGCTTGTGCCTGTAATCCCAGCACTTTGGGAGGCCGAGGCAGGCAGATCACGAGGTCAGGAGTTTGAGACCAGCCTGGCCAGCATGGTGAAACCCCGTCTCTACAAAAAACACAGACATTAGCTGGGTGTGGTGGCAGGTGCCTGTAATCCTAGCTACTCGGGAGGCTGAGGCAGGAGAATTGCTTGAACCTGAGAAGCAGAGGTTGCAGTGACCCAAGATCCCGCCGCTACACTCCAGCCTGGGTGAAAGGGCAAGACTCTGTCTCATAAATAAATATATAAATAAATAAATAAATTTAAAATAAAAGTAAAACTTGTTTATGATTTCAAAATTTTGAAAAATTCCAAAGACCAAGCAAAGTAAGAAGTGGGAAGAGGAGAAAGAAAACATGTCCTATAATCCCACCTCTTAGATACAACGATTTATTTTTTAAAATAGAGACAGGGTCTCACTCTCACTCAAACTGCAGTGCAGTGGTGTGACCATGGCTCACTGCAGCCTCAACCTCCCAGGCTCCAGTGATCCTCCCGTCTTAGCCTCCTGAGGAGCTGGGACCACAGATGTGCCACCACACCTGGCTAATTTTTGTACTTTTTTTGTAAAGAAGGGGCTTTACCATGTTGACCAGATTGGTCTCGATCTCCTGAGCTCAAGCAATCCTCCTGTCTCCGACTCACAAAGTGCTGGGATTACAGGCATGAGCCCCTGTGCCCAGCCTTATATACAGATACAGCTATTATTATTAGTGTTTTTCTAAAATCGAAGTTCTGATCTCTTCCTCTGGACCTGCCCCACCTGCATCTTCCCCATCTCAGTTAATATCAATTGCATCCTTCAGTTGCTCAAGCTGAAATCCTCGGCACTGTTCTTTATTCCTCTCTCTCACATGTTGCACCAGGAAATTCTGCTGGCTCTACTGCCATCAAACTGTGCCCAGAATCTGGCCCCTCCTCAGCATCTCCAGTGCTACCACCAAGATGGTCCACGATGCCGTCATCTCTCACCTGCACTACTACGGGTCTTCCTGTTTCCAGCTCTGCCCCCACCCCAGTCTAGTTCCAATGTGTCAGCCAGGGCTGTCTTTTTACAACATAAGGCAGACCACACCACTTCTTTGCTCCAATCCTCCCATTTCACTCAGAAGAAAAGCAGAGTTCTGACAACGGCTGCAAAGCCATACAGGACCTGCGCCCCTCCCTGCCTCCTTAATTTGCTCACTGCACCACAGCCACACTTCTGTCTTGTCCCTTGAATGCACTGGGCCTGCTCTTGCCTTGGGACCTTTCTGTGCGTTGCTCAGTCTGCTCAGAAGCCTTCTCCTCTGCATGTCCACTTGGCTAACCCTCTACCTCCACCTTCACGTCCCTTCTCAGCGAGGTCTGCCATGACCATGCTGCTTAAAAATTCAGTCTCCCCTTCTGTACTTTGATGTACTTTACAGTGCTGATCACAATTGAACATCATACATATTTTATTTGTTTTCTTTAGTATCTGTGTCCCCCAACTAGAATGAAAGGTTTTGCCCTTTACGGTTTCCCTAGTGCCAAGAACAGTACCTGGCACATGCCGGGGGCTCAGTAAACATTCGTTAGATGAATGAAGGAAACAAGGAGACAACGTTGACATTGCTGTGAGCAAGGGGAGTGTGAGTGTTTGACGGATCCCTTCCATTTCTGGAGTGGGGCAGAATGAGTTTCATAAGGTAGCTTGGACAAAAATAATTCTCTCATCTTGGCAAATATGTTGAGCACCTGCCTCAGAAGATAGACTGAGCTACGTGCCGTGAAGGAGTCAAACCTGTCTCTTCTCCCAGGGATTGAAGTTAGACATGTACAGAAATAATAAATTGAAAGAACTTATTTATACCGCATATAGCAACAACGGGATGCACTTAAATATAGAGAACTCTTACAGAGTAAGAAAAAAAAAAAAAGGCAAACACACCAGTGGAAAAATGGATAAAGGGCAACAGGTAATTCACAAAAGAAGAAATACAAATGTCCTCTCCTCCCGCCACCGCCCCCCCCCCCAGTGAAAAAGAACGTGTGATTTCACTAACAAAAACAGGTCCATTAATACAGTGAGAAATTGCTTATTGTATGTCTGTACTGATCCGTACTGGGTGCTGGGCAAACGGGCGTTCTCAAACACTCCTAGGAGGAAAGAAATTGGTACAGCCTTTCTGGAGGACAATTTAACTGATTTATTTAAAGCCTGAAAAATGTACCTACTTTAACTCAGCAGTTTCATGACTGATTTATCTTAAGGAAGTAATTAAGAATCTGTGCCTAATTTTTATAACAATAGATGAAATTGTTTTCATCAATTTAGATGAAAAAGACAAAATGAAACACAAATAACCTAAAATCTCCCCATGTAACAGTTTGCTTAAACACTATAGTGTTATTTTTTGTAAGCTACAGAAGCGTTGTTGAAACATGTATTTATTAAGATGGAAAAAAGTTCATGGAATATTATTTTATCTTCTCTTATTTTCTAAAAATGGAACTAAAAAAAATTTTTTTTAACTCTAACCTTTTATACCATCTCCAGAGCCTTCCTCTCCCAAATCAAAGCTACTCCTATTCCTACCTCCGGGATGAAATCCCCACCTCGGTATGCAAGGGTCTTCATGATACGGCCTCAGCCAACTACCTTAGCTCCAGGTCGCGGCCCCATCTTCCATATCCTGTGCTCCTTGCACAGGGAGCAGCTCGCTAACCCCAGGCACACCTGCTTCCATCTGGAGTGTCTGCACATCATGATTCTTCCCCTGGCCCCTTTGCCTGGAAAACTCCTATTCATTCCTCAAAGCCCAGCTCAGGTGGCACCTCTCCATGACTTCGTCAGATTCCCTACAGAGGTGCTGATTTTCTGGTCTCTTTACTTGTGTTTCTGTTATAACACTTAACATGCTGTACAATAATGTGCTTATTTTATTTACAAGTTTGTTACACTGTAGGTGCTCTAGGACAAGCAGTCAGTAGTATTCACCTCTGTCATCACAGAAGCTAGCATGGAGCCCTCCACCTGAGGCCACTGATGTGTTTGCAGAGTGACTGGGACAATGGTGGGCCACATAAGCAGATGGCCCTGAAACTTTCAGTAGGCTCTGAAAGTTAAGAAAATGGCATTCGGTATTGAAGTCACACAAAATGTAAATTTAATGATATAATTGTTCTGAAGCTGCACTACAATTAGGCATGAATGGAGAGCAGTTGACAAAAATGACAATAACACCACTGTTATATAAACCCAATTCTTAAATAGTTGTTCTTCTCTTGCTTTGTACTTCCTCAAATTGGTGTTACCTAATACAGGGGCTCATGTAATATTAATTACTACATATGAGGAGGACACATGTACACACATATATGTACATGACATTTATGTACATATAATGCTGATTATTATTTTTGGAAGTAAAAAAAGTGTAAAATTTGACTAGTTTAAAAAATCTGTAAAATATGGGATACACAAATCAGAGGCTGGGTGCGGTGGCTCACGCCTGTAATCCCAGCACTTTGAGAGGCCAAGGTGGGTGGATCATTTGAGGCCAGAAGTTTGAGACCAACTTAGGCAACATGGTGAAATCCTGTCTCTACTAAAAATACACAAACTAGCTGGGCGTGGTGGCATGTGGCTGTAATCCCAACTACTCAGGAGGCTGAGGCAGGAGAATCGCTTGAACCCGGAAAGTGGAGGTTGCCGTGAGCTGAGATTGCGTCACTGCACTCCAGCCTGGCGACAGAGCGAGCCCCTGTCTCAAAACAACAACAACAAAACAAATTAGAAGCATTTGGGAACTAAAATGTATCATTATGATTGCATGTGGTGGTGGGGGGGACAATAAAGAGGAAGAAAGAGAGAGAATGTGTGTGTGTGTGTATGTGTGTGCGCGTATGTGTGTATGTACGCGCGCACACCTATATTACTGGAGATGACCAAAGTTAGCAGGAGTAACGTTACCAAACCAACAGGAGCCAGAAGTGCCTGGAGAAAACTCTCCATCTATTTAAGATTCTAAAGGTGCGTGTATATGAGGTAAAAATGTCACGTTTTATAAAGACAAATTTAAGCGTGGACCTAAACAAGATGGCCTGTCTAAAGTCACCTGTGACTTGGCGTGAGCTCTGAGACGGCACAGAAGTGATGAAGACAGCAATGATGAAGACAATGTGAGGTGGAACTTCTCTGACCAGAGACCTCATCTGAAGCTTCTGCCATAGCCAGTCCTGCCTTCATCCCTTGTGAGGGGAATTGGCCGCCAAATTATGCAAAGCATTTGAATGGAAAC